GTATGTTGTGAGATGGTTTAGGGATCTAACTTCGTGCATTAATTTTAAACGTTGAACTTTGTATGAGAGGTTGAATAGTTTCTTAGGACTGGATCCATCATGGTATGTTTTGATTATATAACCTGGAACTGTTGCCAATTTTGGGGGTGCAACTGTAAGAGCAGATCATCAGTATGACAACCCTAAAATAACCAATGAAAATCATATGCCGGAGACATTGATTTGCTTCTATAAGAAATTTTGCAATTAAATACTTCCACCGTTCTTTTTTACTTGACGTAATTCATTTATCACACTTGCCAATGTATAACTTTAACCATCAAGAACTGTAATTTTCAGTATGTAAATTTTACAAAAACTAGATATTATGATGGTACAATATTACTTAAGTCGATTTTAATAAGATCATGATTGAATATGTTCCTTTTTTTTTTTTTTTCACATAACTCACAAAAGACGGCAAAAGGAGGAGATGTGAATAGTGTAAAAGTCAAATTGGGTCAAGTAAAAAAAGAACGGAGGAATTATGTCTTTGATCCATTAACCTCTCAAACCCCAGATTTTTTTTTTTTTTTCGGTATTGAATGCTGAGCTTAACTTTGGTCGAAGTAAATTGAAACTTATTGAGTTAAATATAAATTTGTTGTGCTATATTGTATTGTTCCAAATAAGATTAATTTTCTCAAATTTTCTTTGCTTCATTGAACTAGTTATTGGTAAAATCAGTTGAATATTGATGAACGTATCTTAATTGTAATTGTACTTAATTCACATAATATCCTGCTCCAATGTGAATAAGGCTATGTACCTGATACATTTTCTTTTGGAGACTAGTAAACATTCAATTCATTATTATATATACAGTCATTACTTTGTTGTGCTTGCTTACATTTTTTTTTTCTGTGGTTGGAGTAGGATGCAACTTTAAATAGAAAAAATAAGTTAATATGATTGACAAGGATTTAAGTACATGAAAGAGGAAAAATGCCACTATTACTTTGTGAATTTTACATCTGGATTTCTTATCGACTTGAGCCACATATCTGCAACTATTCTTGATGAAATGCTCCATAATAGATCCTGGCCCTTTGAGCTTGGAGATTTGCCTTTTTTTGCTGCCTTTCCCATGTTATATGCTATCAGCCACTGTATAGCAGTGAGTCTCTGCTTTTCAGTATCCCAAGCACTCTTCTTTTGTCCTGTTTGAACTTTCATGCCCCCAACATGCAAACTAGCCACTCTAAATTTAATCTGCTCATTTTTCTCTTGTTTTGCCTCAGGAGTTGCATGAATTAATACTATAGCAGGTCCACCGACAGCCTCATATCTCCTAAGGGGATCACGCAGCTGAACTACCATCAACAGTGTGATGGTCTCTGACTCTTCTAGCTTGTTATCTTTCATCCAATCATCAAGTGGAACTGCCGAAGCAAGAGGATGGTTTTGGTCTTTTTGTCCGCTGATTAGTGCCTTCCCACCAAGTGGAGAAACCTCAAAAGGAGCCTCTTCTTCAGCTATCTCTGCCTGTATTTTTAGAGCATCAATTGCCATAGCCTCAATCTTCTGCATGGAGAACGCCAGGATTTCATCAGCTGTTAGTGGATCTTCATTGACATTCCAAAGCCCTGTTGTGATGCGTTCTTTCCTGCCAGTGCCCAAAGCGCTTGCAATCTGTTTAATGGTAGCAAGGGTACGAGCAGCACTTGAACTGGCACCCTCTTTCTTTCTGCCACTGATAATTGTGGATGCAATGCCTTCAAAAGCTACCTGTTCTGCTGTTTTTCCCATCAGCTCTTCTATGGGCATCAGGGATAGCACTTCTGAGCTAAGTTGTTCAACCCCACTAGCAGCCATCCTCTGAAATATCTCAAACCCATTGACGGATTTGTCTGAAGTTATAACAAAAGGTCTAGATATCTGCATTGCAAGCTTTGGAGTGTCTGTCTTTGATACCTCGATGTTAAAAGGATTTGTCGCAGTTAAAAACCCTCCATTTCTAGTCTGAACTACACATCCCAAACCCTTTCCAAGGTCTGGTAGGAAAACACTTATAGACTCGGCATCATCAGCAGTTTCTTTAGTTTTAGAAGCCGTAGGCATTTTATTCTGCAACTGTTTATAATCATAAACTGCTTCCTCATCCTCAAGCATCTGCAGGAATTCCATTGTTACATTTTCTTCATCAGCATCAAGCTTTTCTGCATCATATGTTTCTTCTTCATTATCGTTAAATTGGTCCGCATTTTCTTCACCCATCATTGATTCAAGAGCTTTGATCTGCTGGGCTATCGAATCCAGCTCTGTTAATCTTGTGAGGTGAACGTGATCATGTACCACTTCCTTTACAACCTCACTTGTTGAAGACCCATTTTCTGCTTTTTCTGTAAGCTCTTCATCTTCATTGGTACCAGTGTTCTGAATTTCCACTCCTTTATCCACCACTTCAAAATCTGGAAGATCAACTTCCTCAATACCTGACTCTTCCTCTTTTGGCTTCTGAGGTTCAGGTTCAGGTGCAGGCTCATCGAGATTTAGATCATCAATACCTTGAAAATCTGCGGTTGTTCCTGTGCGAGATGGAGTCCAGACTTCAGAACGGCTCGACAACTTGGGACTTGGTATGCTGAATGATGATTTAGACTGCTTCCGTCCAAATGTTGAAGAGGCTTTTGCTTTTCCTGGCTTTAATCCCCCCTCGAGCTGACTGAACAATCCAGTTCCTCCATCTTTTTCCATGATCTGGAATGCTAATTTCAGCAACAGTTGTCCACCTTTTGCCTTTCCTGAAAGGTCAAAACTCGTGTCCCACTGTCGTATCCTGGAACCTTCAGCATTTTTCTCTAGAGAATCCTGGATAAGGCGGCTCAAATCCACCGAGCTTCTTCCAAAATCGAGCTCTGCTGCATCAATTGCAAAAAGATAAATTAGAAAGGGTCTTGGTTCGAATTTCAGCTGTTGTTTGTCACCAACTTGTGCCCAGTAAACATGGCATTTAACAAACAAGGTCTCCTCAAAATCAGCTGCTCCTTGGGAAACTCTTGAAGGCATAGTATTTACTGCACCATCTTTTGTCTCCTTCTTCCTCACACAAACTGAGAGCCTTAGCCCATTCATGGATGCTGGAAGACCCTGAGCTGTAACAACTTCCACAGAAAACAAGCAACTTAGTTTCTGCATTCCAATATGTGACAGAGCTCGCATTGGCTTCCATTTCCAAATACCCTTCTTGTCTGCTGATGGTGTATCCTCATGATCGAATAGCTTAACATCACTTTCTTTTTCTTTCTTCTGTTGCTCATTTTCCTCCTTGGCTCGAGAACGCCAGGGAGATAAGGACATTCTCCTGGACCTGGGCCTGACACTGGGCTTGCTGTCTTCATTTGTAGCCGTGTCAGCTTCATCAGCAGTAGGTATCGAGGGGGCTGAAGACCGAGGGAGGACAAGTGATGCAGTTCTTCTGGTTGCAGTTATGTGAGACTGGTAGAGGGTTTGGCTGAGTTCTTCTAGCTCCTCTAAGAGTTTAGTGTTTGACTCAGATGCTGCCATTACTTTTGGCTAATTTGTAGTTCCAAAAAGTAAAAAAGTGATTTGATTAAAGAAAGAAAGATGATGGTTTTCCAGAAAGGTGCATGCTGCAGCCTGCAGGAAGACCAAGATAAGACAATGTTAGATTATGTGGTAAGGTGGGATTATGCGGTGGAGAAACTGCCATGAATTTTGAATGCGGATGCATCTTAGCTGGTGCGTCGAAAACCAATGAATTTTGTGTGGGTAATAAAGAGGGAATTATGTGAAGGATAAGGGAGGAAAGTCATCACTTATTGTGTTCTTGTGCACTTGTATACTCTGAAAAGGACTAGGATGTTGATTGAATTAATTGTCCCATTTGAAATTTATTGTTTGGTTTGGTGATAAATGCTGAATGTGCTTTTTGGCATGTTCTTTCTACTGAAATCTGAAGCGTCTTATTAAAGAAGATTGTCTGCATCTTATATTCCTTTGCATTACTGATTGTGTCCTTAACTACCTTGCCTTTTTGAAACAAAAACAATGGAATACACTTAACGAAAAAAAATAAAAAAATGCAAGGACGTAGATTCGACCCTGCATTCTCAGGAAACGGCAAAGGTGCTATACCAGCACGGCAAACCTTAGAGGCTCTATGTTTGTTAAGTTTATAAGTAGGTTGTGGTTGTGAGGTGCTGTGTGAATCATAAAAACATAAATATGGACTAACTTAATTATTGGATATTAGTATATTAGGGAGATGTTATGGTAAATTACATAAGTAGCCTTTGGTATTATGAATGAATTTCGATATACCCTTCTAATGGATAGATTATTGTCCAATTTCCCTTCTTGAGGTCTTTTTCGAATTGGCTAGGGTTTGGGGCGTGTAGATCTCGCTGAGACACCCAATTTGAAAAAAAGTTTGCTCCAATCGAACACCTGGAGCCAAAGTTACAGATCCCTAAAGTTTCAGGATAATATCTCTCAACCGGGGCATTAGGGGATTTATCCAAACAGACGCCTACGCAGTACTCTTGGAGATTAGGGGTTTCAAGAAAAATTGGCCCAATCGGACCACCGTACTAGGATTTATGCTCTCCTGAATTTATGTTCTCTTGAATTTACATTACCCTCAAGATTCTCCTTAAACTTAGGGAATACCACGGATTTTGTTCCTCCCAAGAATGCCGTTTTCTCGTAGATCTCGATGTTCCGTATGAAAACGAGTATTCACTTGACCGGAGGAGTTTTGTATTTTTCAAAGAAGATAAAAATATTTTGCCTATGTTTTTGTAGCAATTCTACTCTGTAGGAAAATCCATGGCTTCTTGGCTTTCTTGGTAACCTAAGAGTTGATGATTTCCTTAGCCTAGATATTGGAAATCTCAGTTGCATTTAAATGGATACAAATACTTGTATAGAATCAACGCATTGAAAGATAAAAAAAATTAATCTCGATATTAAAAGAAGCAGAGCAATCAAATAATGTGTATGTATGTTTTTGTTTATGTTTGTGTTTAATGGAGTATATGTGCCATTAAATTGTAAGAGTAATTCTTTGAGACGAAGTTGAGCTATCCTTGCACAAAAATGCCACTCAACAAAGCCGTTTGGCCGTAGACGACACGGCACACCCGTGCCTCATGCAGTCATGCACGGGCTCAAGCATGTGCAGCCTGACTGTTAAAACCAAAACTCGGGCCCCACAATTATACCGGTATCTCACCCTTAAACCCACTTTTCCCACTCAAATTGCACGGCCGTCACACCCTCTCTTTCTCTCTCCTCAAAACCCCTCTTCCTCCATTGATACTCCCTTCAATTTCTTCCAATTTCCACCATTTTCTCTCCCTTCACCACTAAAGCAAGCTTATACATGTTCTCTCATCTTTCATCGCCTGATCTACAGATATGTCAGGTCGACGAAGAACCAAGAGGGCCCGTGCACAACCAAATTCAACCCATCAATGGCACGACCACCCTTCTCCCGAAGAACCCATAATTCTTGCATCCCATCCAAATTCCACCACTATTTCCGATCAAAACCATACTTCTAACTCCGATCTTGAGATTGAGTACAAATTGTCCGGTGCACGGGGGAGCAAGAGGGGCCGTGCACAACCAACTTCATCTCATCATCAACATTACCCCTCTTCGGAACCTGAAACGGATGGTAACCCTTTTAAATTTAACTTAAAAGATGCTGATTTTCCGCTTATTGAATTTCGTGATAATGAGCATTTTAATCGCTTTCAATGTTTGAAAGTTCGTCGGATTGTAGCAACTAGGTTTGTTAGTGATGAATGTATTACTGCTTTGGGTATTAAATCTGATTTAGAATGGTTATTTGATCGAGTTGGGTGGACTAATTTGATGATGAATCAATATCATACTTATCAGCAGCTTACTCTAGAATTTTTGAGTTCATTTCAACAAAATACTGTTAAAGTTCCTAAAGGACATGTTCCTGGTGTTTGGTTTAGAATGTTTAACAGGGAATACTTTAAAACTTTAGATGAATTTGGTGCATTTTACGGGTTACCGAAAGAGGGTAATGTACTGTATTATAACAGTGATCCGGGTTTGATTTGGGGACAAATTACCGGGTCGAATGGATATAATCCTCAGTCGTCTAAGGCCTCTCGGATTCATAACCCCGTGTTTCGATATTTGCAGAGGTTAATGGCAAGTACTATTTTTGGGAGACATGATAGTCAAGGGACTGTTAGGGAGTGGGAAATGGAAATGATACAAAGCATGTTGTATCCGGATGTTCGTTTGAATACGGCCTCTTTCATTGCCCGGCATTTTCATGCTGTAGGAAAGTCTAAGAAGAAGAGTCCGATTGTCATTGGTGGACTTGTCACTCCTATTGCTGTTTCTTTAGGGTTTGACTTCGATCATATACAACCGGTTGGCCATATTGCCACCCTTGATATTCCTAAGCTTGTAAATATGGGATGGTTGCAGGAGGATGGTGATAGGTACCGATGGGTAGTTAATAAGAAACCCGCATTCTTTTTGCCTAATCCTGAGCGGACAACGATTAGGAACCAAGCTAATTGGGTATTTCCCGAAATCTTTGCAAGTGATGGAGAGGAAGAGGAGGACGAGGAAAACTGTGAAAGGGAGTACCAAACTAACCCCTCTCCTGTTTTCGTAAGTGAGGAACATGTAGGTGGTTCTTCCTCCCAGTCCATTCCAAATCAGCCTTGTGACTTTGCTACCCTTCAAGCATCTATGGAGTCTATTCGTTCTGGAATTCAAGAAATTCACAACTCTCAGCAGTACATGAACCAACGCCTAGACCAGTTTGATCAAATGCTTTACCCCATATACAGATGGCATGTCCAGCAGGGTCATATCAATCCCAATACTCTTCCCTACCCCGACCCACACTATCCACAACCCCATCTACAACCACCCGGTCCTCCCAGGAAATATCTATCTCACTCTCACTGTACTCTGCACTGAGGATAGTACTTATCACAGCATGTAAGTACTTTGGCAATTGCTGTGTGGTGTCTTCTGCTGGAGTGCTGGTAGAAAGTATGGTGCTCTGTCCTTGGTGCACTTCAATCCTGCATTAACCTTCATCATGGATGACAATCTTCGTATACTTTTGCTTTCAGGTTTGTGCTTTATATGACTGTTTTCTTCTTCTTTATGCTTTAGGATTTAGGAAGTAATGTATATAATCAATGCATGTCTCTAAATATATGTCAATATATGTCCCCTGTAATATGATGATTTTCATTGGTTCAAATTCCAATTCCTGTATGAGTTGAGCTAGCCTAAATTGAGGCATTCTACATTTGATTTGCTTGATTATTTGTAGTGTTTAATGCTTCGTAAGTGATAGCTTGGTTGCATCGAGAATTATTACATAGGAATTACTTTGATTGGTCAACATTAGAAAATTTAAAATACATGAAGGGGGTTGGTTAAATAACTTCACATGTTATCATCCTAATTCCCAAAATCCTAAGGAAGTCGTCATTCCTTCATTATTGATTGTAAATAAACAAGCTAATACTGCAAATGGGGTTATTGCTTTGGTTAACAACAGGTGAAAATGGGTGAAATTTGACCGCCTTAGGTGTTAGAACTTTCCATAGAGCGTGGGCAATAAAACACCGACCCCCTTGTTCACTCAAAATTTCCTTGAATTGCAACTATCTTGGTGTCAACTGAACAACTTTTGGACATTTCATTGGAGTTGTCAACTAAGCTAGCTGTGTGATTACATCTTGGTGGTTACATTCTAGAACTCACACTCTCTACTTTGAGTTCAAACCAAACATACCAAAAGCCACCTGCATTAATCTTACCCTTTGTAGTACCCCAAGTGAGCTTTGAAGTTGTTTTTTTTTTTTCCTTTCTTATTTTGGTTTAACCCAGTTTTTCCATATCAACACCATCTATAATACTTCCCATGACTTGTCTTAGAAAAAAGTAAAAGCTCCAATTTATGTAAAAATAGATTAAAAAAAAGGAAAAATTGTAAATAACCACCCCTCAAATCACCCAAAATTGATTTTACCACCCCTTTTTTTCTTTATTATAAATAACCACCTCTAAAAGTGAAAACATTAAAAATCACCACTTTTAGCCAAATTTTAATTCAACTAGGACAAAAAGTGGAGAAAGTACACTAAAGAAGGAAGAAGAACCTTCAAAAATTAGCTTATAAATAGTCGAAAACATGATCGGACCAATGCTAAAAGGTGTTGATCTCTAATGTTTAGCTTATAAATAGTCGAAAACATGATCGGACCAATGCTAAAAGGTGTTGATGTCTAATGTTTTTCACTTTTAGAGGTGGTTATTTAAATAAAGAAAAAAATAGGTGGTAAAATCAATTTTTGCTGATTTAAGGGGTGGTTATTTACAATTTTTCCTAAAAAAAAATGAATTGTGGTAGAGATAATTTTGGTGATATAATTATTTTAGGTATTTGGCGTGATTCAAATTATCATCATATTTCGTACATATATAGTGGCATTAGGTGTATGCTTCCTCAATATTTAGGCAATCCTCTGTTAATAAATTTTATTTTATTTTTTTCAATTTTTTTGTTTAAGTTTTGGAAAGAATTAATAGCTAAAGTGGCAAGTCTGATAACATCTAAATATGCTTCTTGTTAGTAAACAAAAAGTTCTTGGGGATAATCATCTTTATCTGGTTTATACTAGTGGAAATTGAGTGTGATAGAAAAAGCCTCATAGTGTATTGTCATTGAAGTAACATGAGTGAAACAAGACCCCTACTAAATAGACGAGTGATTGTGTGATTTTGACCTTTGATGAGGATCTTCATGAACTTGCATGTGTGGCCTTATTCCCATTAATTTACTCGAGTGCCTAGTGATGTACCTATGTCAGCTATGTGTGTTCATGGCTAGAAGAGGATTCATATGTTTGACTGCTCATTTTATTAATTGGTGTTCTACACATCTATTTCTGTGTAGTGTGTTTAAAGTGTTAAACGAAACATGGAGTGATTTAGGTGGCCTTCTGTATATATGCTTTCTATTCTTGACTGACATTAATCTCTGTCCTTTTAAGAGATTACCTGCGGGCTGCAGATGCTTGCTATTCTGTGATTAGCTCCTATGTGTATTTTCGCTCAGGATATAATAAACTCCTATGATTTTTGCTTTTAATTTTAGCTTTTTTCCCCCTCTTGTTTGGCTCTGTTTTGTGAGTCAAGTAGTGTCAACTAGCCTTTTGGTGTTTGGTACTGATATGTTTCTTGTGTGTGTACTTGCAGGCTCTTAGAAGTGCATTATCACCTTTATCGGCCCCCCAGACAAGCTTGAATGACGATGGTATGATAAAGCTATTGAACATCAAGCACCAACTCATGGAGATCCTTGAATAGCTAGGCCTTGAAAGTTGCTTGGATAATTTCAGAAAATCACACTTTATTCTAGGGCCTGCAAGTTATTCCAGTGCAATGGTGCATAGGGCTGTGCATTGATAAGTTTCTGAGAGCATACAACCACTGCTTATTGACGACATATACAAACTTTAGTGGCATTAGAGGTTTAGTGCTGTAGAACAGATATATTATGCATTCATGTGCTAATTTGTTTCCGTAATTGGCTTAAGGCCACCATAAGCCTTTATATGACCAATTTATGGACATATATTTTTCTACAAAGCACTATATGACCTCGCTCTCCAAGAAGCATCCTCCACCATCATTTGAGGTTTCGTCACTAGGTTTTTTTTTAATCTTTTAGATGATTCTATTTCATGTACATATCCTTTACTCTTGGAACTGTTCTTCAGTTCTTGGTGTGTTATTGTGGATTTTTATTGGCTTAATTTTGCTTATTTTATATGTCTGTCTTCAAAGTGTGTATTTTACGCTATTCTATGAAAGAACAATAAGAAAAAGAAGTGTGCTATGTTCTGTTTTTATGAGGCCTATAAGAACCCTGTTCCAACAAGTCAGATCATCATTGATAAGCCTAGAACGCATTAGCGTAAGTGTTTGCACTCATCTTTTTGTTAGTTAAGTTTAGAGATAGTGGAGGGTGTTTTCCAAACAATGTAGCTTTCCTAGGATTTTCTGACTCTAAGAAAATCCTCTTGAAGATGAAAGAAGAAGAAGATAGTTTATGCTAGGCCATCTTTTGTATCAATTATTCTCAGCATAAAAAAACTTGGATTTGCTTGCAATTAGGATGTTCAACCGAGCATTTGATGGTTTCCTTAAGATTGAGATTAGAGAGCATTTGATGGCCAGCTTACATTGTTGTTTTACCTAGGGAGAGATTGCAGCCTTACATGTACTAGTTCTAATTGACATTATTAAGTGAGAATATGGCTTCATATTGTAATTTGTGGGTAAATTCCTACTTTGAACCATGTTTTTTGTTAGTGTATTGCTGTTTTTTCTCATGACATGTAAATTCATATTCCTGAATCTTTTCTGGGGCATAACTTGATTCCTTTTTCTTCTTGGTGCAGGCATATCTTGTTTCTCGGCGAATACTTTGATGCTACAGCTTTAGGTGTGCAACTTCTATATAGTTTGAAACTTTATATGTTATTTACTGTTAATGTATACATATATTGAACATGGCATTATAGTTTTATGAGTTGAAAAACACTTTGTATTGATTTACAGTCTAAGAGAAGTTTGTTCTAGATATTGTATGTATCCTTATACCCCGAAACTTTTTTTATTCCTCTCCATAGGCCCCCTCCATGGTTTCTTTCAATAAAAGATTTTAGATTTCTTCGTTGAATGATAAGTACCAGTGTTGATTATTTATTTACCCTTTATGAGAACTCGTTAACCTTCTATAAAAATAAATGGCAATGTGGGTCGATTAGGAGGGGGGTGGAGAGATGTGAAGAACCCTTTGGATAACATTGGTTGGTTAGGAGTTTTGGACTGATGATCTATCCATCAGCAGCAGCTGTAGACGTAGACATAATAGCCTATCAGTAGATTATTGAAGGACTTGTTCTTTAATTGCATTTGATTATTGGCAGTGTGAAATTGTGAATGACTGTCATTGGTAACATTTAATATCAGTATGATTTAGGTCCCTTTGAAAGTTTGGAGCACATTTGATACATTTGGATCTTATTTGTGGAATTTAGATTGAGGATATACTTACAGTTAACGCACGTACTGCTGTGTTTTTGGTGGCTGGGATCATGTTTGCCCAACAAATACATCATTGTTAAATCAAGATACAGAGAGTCATTTAACTTAAAAATGCATCATTGTTCCAGGGGGCTAAGCCAATGTGGTGCTAATTATTGAGAATGTTAGTGATTTCGTCATTAATACTGTTTGAATGAGCTAGAATTTTGAGGGATAGCAGAATGAGAAAATGGGAAGGATGGAAGAAAATAGTAGATTTGTAGGGTTTATTCTTCTTGTACAGAACCAAATTTCTCTACAATCAGAATTTTGTAGGAAAAAGATAGTTAATGACTGATGAGGCTACAGCCAATTGGTAATCTTATAGCTAGATAAGCTTGTTCTTTTGTTCTTGTGTTGTGACCGAGACAAGGTTCTTCACTCCAGATTTTTTTACAGCGGAGTACTCAGTAACTAACGTATATTGATTAATCAAATTCTTGATATGCAATTACAACTTTACAAGTTTTTTCTTTCTTTTTTCTTACTATGGGAGTACACCAAAAATTGATTTTGGCACACCTCTATGTGAGAAGAGCATAGAAAAGTGTGCTCTTACACTGAGTGTGCCAAAATCATTTCCATACTTCATATGGCGTATATATGTTTTAAATATAACTTACTTCGTTTTATAATACACTATGCTATTGACTTTTTTATGTTTGTCAATACACGACTTGACTTTTTATATCTTCATTTATCTACTTTGTATTACAAGCTACAAAGTTATATTTAGAGTACAATTTGAAATTCGTTTTTTTCATTCATATATGTTAGATTATTTGATTATAATGAAATAATCTAACAGATATTCTTTAAAGCTTTTATTGCTTATTTTGACACACATAACATGATTTGTAGAAATTGTTTGTTATCATAATCTTTGTGTTTTTGTGTGTATTTTTGTTCTAGCAATTGTAAGGGGTTCCCTTTTATTCACCAACAAATCAAGTCATAATTAATACTTGTAGCAGAATTGATTCCTCTATGAATGAAAATCTCTTGCACGACACTAGACTGTCACAAGGCATGCACGACACAAACATTGCTTGTATAGATGAAGCTGTAATTTGATTTTAAAATGTCCGTCATAAGTTGATACGACACGATAAAATTACTAGAAGTGAGCAACTTAACCTAGGTTAGTGGCTACATAATTATATTTGGATTGTTTGCAGAGCACAGAGAGAGATCTAAAATTGATGGCTGGACATAGCCGTACCCTGACCTGGGCTAGGGATCCATCCATGCGCTGGACGGCTCTATTATTGTTTTGTTCGTATTTGATTTCATCAACGAACCTTCATTCATTCATACTGGTGTATAGTAATAATAGAGCCTTAAAGGGTTAGGCTATACTATAGAGTTTAGACTTTAGACTAGTACATTGTTATTTTGTAACATTCACAATTTTAGGTCGTCCTTACATATATTTTAGTATTTTACCATTTTTCAACTCACCCTTCACTATTATTGTTTTTCTCCCTATGCATTACACCCCAGTAACAAGTTTAGAATATTAACATACAACGAGGTTTGATTTTTCCTATTTTTCATCGAATTTTGATTATTAAAAAAATAAATAAAATTACTTTTAAACAAGTCTAGCTTTGAATATAAGCATTCAGTGAGGATCGATACAGTCTTACAAGTTACAACCTTATTTTCATTGAGTGTAGATAAACACATTACTATTTAATTATAGAGCCCAGAATAATACGAGTAGTTAATTTATTTACGAAAATACCCTCATATGAAAAACAGGAAATTTTCCCTTTTTGACCCAATTTGTTGTCCAATAGCCACATATGTTTTCACTTTTTTTGAACTTGTGTGATAATAATATGAATACCACACATAAACACAATAGGATCATATATAGGATTATATAACTCCGGTATGTATTAAACTCATGCACTTCTATGTTACGGTGTTAGACTTAAGACACGTGCATGGGATATTTGGGATTTTTCTGATGAAAAAAGAAAAAGAATAGTAGCAATTAGCAAAAGGCATAGTAGATAAGTAGAGCACATATTTGTATACATAAATTTATGTTTGCTAGATGAGTATTTATGTAGATCTATATAATTAGCAGCAACTAATTCAACTAGGACTACATACATTAAAACAGATATCTAACTGTTAACAAATACTGCAGTACATACGTAACAACAATGATAATACTAATGAAAATTATTAGGGATGAAGACGAAAAGACCAAGATTCTGTAGGATTGTATTGGTGGTGATTGATAGTATGACTTAGCATCCTATCCAGTGCTGCTACTGCAAATGAGGGAGACATTTCAGTATGATCAACAGCAGCTTCAACATCGACATCGTCGTCCTCATCATTATCATTGACAGTAGCAGTAGTAGTGTAAGTATTAGGAAGAGATTGAGGTTCCATCATTTGATTAATATTCAAGGGATTACGATGATATTGATTTTGGAAGTACTCATTCTGAGCCCATATTTTGTCAACCCACTGCTGCTGCTGCTGCCACTGTTTTGTTACAGCAGGCACAGTAGCAGTAGCAATGCTGTTGCTGGTGCTGGTGGAGGAGAGGCATCGCTCTTGGAAGGACTTAAACCGGGTTGTTTCCCCTGAGGCGGCCAAGGTGGCGGTAGGGAAAATGGTGTTTGATCCAGATATGGATGAAAAATTAGGCAAAGGGTTTACCAATAAGGAATGGAGGAGGTCATAGTGGCGCGGTTGCGAGGGTGTAGCATCAGCTAATGATTGGGTGGTTGTGGTGGTGGTGGGTGGTTCAGCCAAAGGAGGTAAACTACTAAAGAAAGGAGATAGAGGTTGCAGCGGCGGCAGCGGTGGTGGTGGCGAAGAAGGTGGATGATGAATTTGTGGAGAGTACTTCTTCTCTGCATTCTTGTGGAATATTCTGCATATCACCCATTCTTCCTGCAATTATTTTTACAATCAGTCCTTATAACATATCCTAGGAGTAGGAAATTTTACTATTTCTACCCTTTTAGAAAACTTGGTTTCAATTAATACCTAGGGTCGGCTAACATGAATCGTCACAGAAAATAAGACAGTAAAGTAAAAATTAAAAATTTGGAGGAGCTAGTTTCATAATGATTTGGGATCGGCTAAAATGAATCATACAAGTTATGAAACTTAAAAACAGTAAGCAGTCAAGTAGAGACCTTAGAGGAGAGGCGAAAGGAGGAGAAATGGCCATCGAGGCGGTATTCATGCATGATCCATTTAGTCTTGACGCCGCGAGGAGCACGGCCTTGGTAGAAGACAAGAGTCTTCTTCATACCAATCAACATTCCACCTCCATTACCAGCAGCAGTAGTTGTAATACCAGTGGCGTAAACCTGTCTGTCTTTACCAGTAGCCTTCCAGTAGCCAGTCTCAGTAGCTCTGTTAGTCCTTAATCCTGAAGGGTACTTCCTGTCTCTTAAGCTGTACAAGTACCACTCTCTTTCTCCCATCTTTGCTCTCTCTGCACATCACACATAACAATAATACATAATCAGTCATAATGTTACGTAACCAAAAAAATTAAAAAAATCAAGTGAATAGAACACGTCGTATATGTATGTACCTGGAAGGTTCCAAGGCTCACAACGAGTGAGATCAACTTCAAGAATTTGGACACCGGAATTGGACAAGAATAAGTTGGTAGTATTATTAGGAGTAGTAGTAGTGTTAAAGACTTTAGAAGCAAGGTAGAAAGTAACGAGTTCTTCATCAGTAGGATGAAATCTGAAACCAGGTGGTAAACCACCATCTTTGTCACTAAATTTAGCATTGTTTTCTTCAAATATTCCTTCTTCTTTAAGCTCCCTTAACACATCTTCAACCTTCCACATTTTTTTTAAAAGAGAAATAAAATGAGGAAATAATAAAGAGAGAAGTATGAATGAATATATAGTAGTGTGCACTGAAAACGAAGGAGTAGTAGTAGATTAATAATAATGATAAGGAGCAGGAAATGAAAAGAGGGGGTTAGATTTGGTGGTTGATAAAATAGATTTGATTGTCATAAAATTAAATATTGAATTGGGTTAACATTACAAGATCAAATAACCTGAGAATGAATGAGGAGAGAAAAAACAAAGGACGGTAAGTGGGTAACAAATACATTACAAGGAAGGGTGCACCTCCCTCTGTATTTAATGCTGACTGTTATTCAACCACTGATCAAAGATTTATGCGTGCGTGTGTAACCATATTATTATCCCCTTTTATTATTCGTGTTTTTTTTTATTAGACACATAGTTTAAAAATTACAGTATCTTAGGACTTGTTCTCATACGTTTATTTTCAGTTCATTTTAGCTACTAATTTCCTTCTCTTATAAAATATTCATTTCAATTCAGTTCAGCCTATGAGAACAAGTCCTTACTCTATAGTGTGTGGCTCGGGTAGTGCCTAGAGAGTTGGTGTTACTTTGAGTACGTCGAATGATAAACTGTTTTCTTAAATATTTTTTAAGCGTAATTGTGAGTTTAGGGCCTGTTCTCATACGTTTATTTTCAGTTCAGTTCAACTCCTAATTTTCTTCTCTTATAAAATACTCATTTCAGTTCAGCTCAACTCAGTTCAGTTCAATTTAGTTTAATTCATTTCAATTCAATTCAACTGAGTTCAGTATACGAGAACAGGCTCTTAGTAACATAAATATAAAAGTAAACTGAGAAAGTATTATGTTAAAAAAAAATACTTGAATTATTACTGATATTGTTACAATAATGCTGCTCCATACAAGGATTGTAAGTTTGCAGGATGTAGCCAACCAAAGGGCAGGGCACCTCTTTTTTAGTGAATAAAAATCAGGATGATGAGATCATTTTTTTTTTTTTTTTTTGAAACGAGGATGATGAGATCATTGTTGCCTAATCTCCCTCATTTTAATCAATGTTGATGAAGGACATTTTTTTTTTATAAAAAAAAAAAAGAAGAAGAAAGGGAATAGTATGTAGTAGGCTAGTAGGGTGAGATAGGGAGTGTTAATAGCATGTAGTAGGCATAGAATAGGCCTGCACTGAGCTATGAATAGGCCTATTTTAAAACTACCCTTATAAATTCACTCCTTTTCATTTCAGAGTTTGAGCCTTTGCGTGAATGCAACCCTATTGTTTGATTATAAAGTTCGTACGGAATATATATTTAGGGTCTGTTCTCATGCGTTTAATTTCAGTTAAGTTCAGTTCAGTTCAGTTTAGTTCAGCTCAGCTCAGCTCAACACAGTTTAATTCACCTTCTAATTTCCTTCTCTCATAAAATATTCATTTCAATTCAGTTCAATTCAGCTCAACTCAGTTTAGTTCAGTCTATGATAACAGACCCTTAGGGCCTGTTCTCTTCCGTTGAAATTCAGTTCAGCTCAGTTCAGTTCAGCTCTTAATTTACGTCTAATGATATTGCTAATGATATAAAGCCAAATTTCATTATTTTAAACTCTTATTACAACAACAACAACAACAACAACAACAACAACAACAACAACAACAACAACAACAACAACAACAACAACAACAACAACAACAACAACAACAACAACAACAACAACAACAATAATAATAACAATAATAATAATAATAATAATAATAATAATAATAATAATAATAATTGAAATAATAATACTAATAATAATAATCAATAAATAATAATAATCATCAATAAATAATAATAATAATAATAATAATAATAATCAATAAATAATAATAATAATCATCATCAATAATTAATAATAATAATAATAATATTATTATTATTATTATTATTATTATTATTATTATGTACATTTGTATATACACATATGTATAGTAATAAATAATCAATAAATAATCAAAGATCACTAATCCGTAGTTAAAAATCACTAATTAATAAGTTCAGTTCAGTTCAGCTCAGCTCAGTTCAGTTCAGTTCAGTTCAGTTTAGTTCAGTTCATTTCAGTTCAGCTGAGTTCAGTCAATCGGAACAGGCCCTTAGTCCGTCCTTTTTAATTTGTTTTATCCCATTTGTCCCATGTATTTACATATATGATCTTAGGACCTGTTCACTTCAGTTCATTTCTTCAGTTCATTTCTTCAGTTCAACTCCAATCAATTTAGTTTAGTTCCAATCAGTTTATTTCAGTTCTTCAGTTCAGCCCCTTCAGCTCCAATCATTTTAGTTCAGTTCAGTTCAACTCCAATCATTTTAGTTTAACTCATTTCAGTAAATATAAATAGGTCCTTAGGAGACATAATATATTTAATTAAGGAGTATAAGTAACTGGAGACATAATATGATATGGCTACACACTGATGAAACGGATAGGTTTGTAAAGTTTTGATACCTTAATTAGTGGACTAGTGTACATACACATTAAGGGCAAATTTTACTTATCAATATAATTAATTGCTACAAATATTTGAACAATAACCAGTCCGGGATTAAGTAAATACTTTTGTTGCAAATTACTAAGTATTAGACAAATTTCGACTTGGAGGAATCATATATTTGGAATTTGAAATCTTTAACTCTTAAACAAGCATATTGTCCAACTCAACTCAAAAATACATTATATTGACATGTAAAAATCAAACTTAATAAAAATCAATCAAAATCAATAAAAATACATTACATTAGATTCGGTAAAGAGAAGTATTAATCAGTAAAAATCAAACTTAATCAAAAATCAATCAAAATTAATTAATTAAATAAATTATACAAAAATAATATAAATGACATAATCCGTGAATATATATTTATATATATATATATCACCCATGGCATTATGTATAAGCCGTGAAAAAGAAAAGTTTTAATTATAAAAGGGTGAAATAGCTGTAAAACAATAAACTAAAAATGGAAAAATGTAACAATTTAGAATTAAATAAAGTAGCTATGAGGCTATGAAAATTCTAAAATTCTCTTGAAAGTAAAAAAAAATGAAACAAAAATGGGATGCCTGGTTGAGTTGTTAGTTTGTTACCCCTCTTATTAAATGATCGACTACGTCTGTCTTCTTGGACCTGCCCCTCCACCGACCAACCTATCTTCTTACTTGATTGGCTGATTAATAGTGCTACTGATTATTATTGCTTTGTATAAATTACTCCTATACTACGTATGACTACATTGTGTATCGTATAATGTAATCAATATAAAATATAGAATATGAAATTTAATTCAAACTATAAAAATATTGATTTAAACGTTATAAATTTATAATACATTTCATCGATGCACTATTTTATTAGTTTAATTCATAACAGAATGTAAATTACACATCAACTCCAGATTTGCAAAATTCAATTTAACTTCTTACTAATTACCATCCATAGATTTACCAACCATTAAAGTAAAACCCTTTTTTTTTTTTTTTTTTGAAAATAACCATTAAAGTAATACTTCGTATATTATGTACTAAAAAAAATTAATTTTGTTAAGTTATTTATATATATATACTCGTATATAATAACCAGCCAAAGTATAATCATGAACATAAATTTTCTTGTACTTTTAATTAGCTTTACAGTCATTGGAGACCTTTAGCTAATTTGGCGTTTCTACATTCTCAATATTTTTTTTAAAGACACATTGATAGAAAAATAAAAAATCTTAAATTAGTCAAAGCTAAATAAAAAAAATCAACATTGATATATAGCAATATAATATTGATAGAATGATACTACAGAGTATCAATAATAAATAGAAGTCAAATCTGAATATGTTAAGTTGAATTTATCAGAAGAAAGCCAAAAAATGTGGAACCTCTTGGATTATTTTAGTCCATTAAAATCTTTGTGATAGATTTTATTGAACTAAATTTCTTATAGTAATTGGACTAATTACTCCTACTCTTGTCATGAATTTTCGAGGAAGGTCCAAAATATACACTTCATATACAAACAATAATATAAATAGTAAGTCACATAAGGCTAGAATAAAACATGTCTAGGATGGGTCATACAATGTTTGTTCATATGTTGACTCTAGATCCATAGTGTTTAATTTCGAGTTGACACAACAAATTAAAGATTTAAGTTTGCTCTTAATTACTTTGGAGATAGTAGGTTTGAATGTATATACATATAGTTAATATATAGTTATATAGCGAAATTAACCATACATATAAGTGAATGACATCTACCTTTAATAAAAAAATTCATTTTTAAAAACGTACCATATTCTAATTTTTATAATTTCTTTTTCTTATTGTTATATACTTTAGATCTGTTCACATTTACTTAATTTCAGTTCAGTTCAGTTCAGCTCTTAATTTTTCTTTCTCTTAAAATATTCATTTTAGCTCAGCTCAACTCAGTTCAGTTCAACTCCAATCATTTCAGTTCAACTTCAAGTTTAGTTCAGTTCAATAAATGTGAACATGTCCTTCGCATAAAGTTTTATTTTTATAATTTCAAGATAGCCATGTACAAAAATTGGAAATTACGGAGTACAAATAATTATTTTAACTAAGTCAATTTTTTTACATGTCAACTTAATAATATTGTTATAATTAATATGGAGTAATATTAAAATAAAGCATACTCCTTTGTGAAAATCAAAATAGATTCCTGCATGCATTGCATATTTGCATGTTGATAAAAAAAAATGATAAAAAGAGCGTTTGATTAGGTGAATCTTTTCAGAGTTGTTAGTGACGTAATAGTAGTTGCAGTAAATAATGAGCAGGAAAATAAATGAATATAATAATTTGGCCAATGAATTAATTTCGAAAAGAGATAAATTACTTGTAGTATCAAAAAGCACACGTGTGGTGGGGATGGAGAAACCTTGTTTATTGAATTGAGTCGTATGACGACAAGACAGGTCATTGTATAATTCATACTCACTTCACTAGTGTAGTGTACTAGTGGACAGTGGCTAGTGATGCATTTGTGCTAGTGTGTAGTCTGGTTGGTAGTGCCACATTATTTTAAAGGAGTTTTTACCATTTTCATCATACATTTTTTTATGGGGAATGTTTATGTAACGAAAGTTTTCGTTACGGATTACCTCTTTGGGTGTTGTAATATGTGTAGGATAACGTACAAGAAACCGGAAGATAATAGGTGTTTCCGCACTTACTTTGGAGTTGTAGATTATTAGATACGACATGAATAATACTACGTAGTTTAAATTTTGAATGTACATAACTTGTTTAAGATTGACTGGAAGGAGTTTATATAACTTTATATATAAGGTAGCGTAATTTACTTTGTTTATGAAGTTGATTACGCGGTAAGGCGGTATACATTAACATTTAATAGCGTGAAAAGCTGAATGAGGAAAGAAAATTATTCATGAACTAAAAAAGAGTAAGATCTGAAATGATGTTAAACCTAAACAAGTTCAAGAGTAAGATCTGAAATGATGAATTTGTTAATCTTGATTGATCCAGCACTATTCAATCCATCCGTTATCTTGGGCTTTTGCTTAGGCACATCCTTTCTGGACCAAGTAAGCCCATCAACCCAGTAAGCACATACAACGGCCCACACTGGTAGAATATGTATATTGTCTCATTTTTCTTGGATCATTTTTATTTTAATGAATGATTTCAATCAATTTTACATTAATTACTGTCCCAAAAAAAAAAAGGAAAAAGAAAAGAGAGAGAGATTAATGCTTCATGGTAATGGGGCGAGCATGGAGATAAACAACAAACTCATCATAGGAAATGGACGTGGAAAAGGATTTTAGTTTGTACCCACCCCATACTCACATCTAATTTTTAAAATAAAATGATATATTTCTATACTATTTTTTTAAAAAAATGTTAAGGAAAAATAAAGTATTAAATATACTACTTTATAATAGCCTTACAAAATAAACAAAAAATGTGTAATATTAACTATAATTTTTGTTTTTTTATTGTAATGCGGGGATTAGATGAGTGTGGATATCTAAGTGGAGGTTGGGCAGAAATGGAGATGAGTTTTGGCCCACCGCGGGGATGGAAATGGGGATGTTAGGTGGGAATGAGGCTGGGAAGACCAACATCCACCCGTCCTGTCCCATTGACGGCAACCCTCCTTTAGGTACTAGTGCAAGAAAATCAAAATTCTCATCAATTTTCGTACTACCATTACCCATCAAGGCAACAATAGTATTTGTATGTCCAATCTTCAAACAATTCATGTTCGAATCCTACCAGCCTCTTGTTCTAGTCACTGTGTGAGATCCCTTCTTTCACCTGTTCCCATCGTCGCACACATCTCTGCCTATGATAAGCTCGGGTTCATAGCATACATAAAAGAGGCAGCTCCATCGGGTTATTGAGCCCCAATAGGCCAATATCCCCTAAACCAAAAGGCTAGAAAGATAAAAAGATGTATGATGAATCCCTTCATTAGAAAAATGGTTCTTTTGGCCAAGTACTCATTAGAAGCACCGCGAATTCGCCAGTCTAGCCTTAACATTCTTTGTATACACTACAACTTTGCATACATTAAACACTATATTAGGAGACAATACATGCCAATACAAAGCTAACTTGGACTCAAAGTTTACTGTCAGAACTAAGCTTTAAGACTCGTCTACTGCAAACACAATTCTGATCCAAGTCTCCAACTTTACTTGAAAGTAATATTATCTCACCTGAAATAACCTTTAATATTACTATTAATTTGTGTTTTAATTTTTTCGTGTATTATACAAATTACACCTACTAATTAGCAAGCTATATAAATTCAGCCCCGAATCCTCCAACTTCTCATCCTCATTTCTCACAATACATACACTTCCTGCAGCTTATTGAGTCTACAAAAATGGCTTTCGCGGCTTCCTCTAAATTTATCCTCATCTCGCTATCAATCACGTTGTTAGCCTCTAGGTGTGCCATTGCTAGTAATGATCTTCTTCACGACGATCACCATTTCTCTATTGTGGGATATGGATCCCACGATTTGTCGTGTATAGACAGGCTAATCAGGCTGTTTGAGTCATGGATTGAGAGACATAGCAAGATTTACCACAGCATTGAAGAGAAGTTGCATAGGTTTGAGGTGTTCAGGGACAACTTGGAACACATTGATGAGACTAACAAGAAGGTTAAGAACTACTGGTTGGGCCTAAACGAGTTCGCTGACATGACACATGAAGAGTTCAAGAAGAAGTATTTGGGTCTTAACGCCGACCTCCCCAAGAGTGGCAAGGCCTCTGGATTCAGCTACAAAGATGTCCAATTCGAGGCCTTACCCAAGTCTGTTGACTGGAGAAAGAAGGGTGCTGTTACTCCAGTCAAAAACCAAGGCAATTGTGGTGGGTATTTGCTCCTTTAATTCATCTTATTACAGGTAATTGTTATGTGTTTGGTCACTGAGGAAAATAACTTGCTACTACAGGTAGTTGCTGGGCATTTTCGACAGTGGCTGCAGTAGAAGGAATCAACCAGATTGTGACAGGGAACTTGACTTCACTTTCGGAGCAAGAATTGATCGATTGTGACAACACTTACAACAACGGATGCAATGGAGGTCTTATGGACTATGCTTTCCAATACATCATGGGTAACAATGGACTTCACAAAGAAGACGACTACCCTTACCTTATGGAGGAAGGCACTTGTGATAACAAGAAGGTATGCATAATAGTTGCATCTCAATAACAAGAAAATTTAGGAGTAAATATTTCAAGTTCATTGTAAAAACTATATCATATAACCTCACAAAATATCAAAATCACACAATTAAACTGACAGTAACACCAAATATGTGCCAAGTTTTTTTATGATGATATTTTATTAGAAGTTGCAATGGTCAAATTTGTTATTTTCCTTGAAGCTATCTTGAATGTTACTATCAGTTAAACAAAGTCCCTATCATATACAAGTCTGATAACCTTGGAATACTACATGGTTGAATAGGACTTTATTGGTGATTGTTTTTGGTCCTCTGCATCAAAATGATCTCCTAAAATGACCATATACATGTTTGAATAATTGGTTATCAGGATGTTAATGAAGTGGTCACCATTGATGGCTACCATGATGTACCAGCCAACGACGATGCAAGTCTTGTCAAAGCACTGGCCCATCAGCCTATCAGTGTAGCTATCGAGGCCTCTGGCAGAGACTTCCAGTTCTACAGCGGGGTAACTAATCAAATCAAACCAAATCTCTAGCAATGACTTGTTAGCGTAATCTTATCTGACTCTTTTTTATAATATATAGGGTGTTTTTGATGGACACTGTGGAACTGCCTTGGATCACGGAGTTGCAGCTGTCGGGTATGGATCAGCCAAGGGCATGGATTACATTATAGTGAAGAACTCTTGGGGAAGCAAATGGGGAGAGAAGGGATTCATCAGGATGAAGAGGAATACCGGGAAGCCAGAAGGTACTTGTGGTATCAACAAGATGGCTTCTTACCCTACTAAAAGCAAGTGATCAATTCATTAACTCATTACTCATCAGTTTCTGCTAGTTTTCCTGCAAATTACAGGAAACTATACATTGACTAATCAATCGTCTTGTGTATGTTTGCTACTTGTTTCCTTTAAATTTCATTATTTGACATAGTAATTTCTTTGTAATTCAAGTTTAATTACTTAATAAGAAAAACAAGCATTTATTTATATTGGCGGCCTACTTCCCTTTCATTAACCTTCCATCTTAAAACTAAGCTCATATAAGAGCATATAAGTTCAAATATGGGTCAAGAATTCAAGATTAGACAAGGAATACAAAGATAAAAACAAAGAAGCATATGTATACTTTGCTGTTGTATCATCTTCATTGCATATCCGATCCATTCAGTTCTAATTTGTTCGATGGTTGTATTATATGAGACTATGCATCAAAATGAGATATCATCACCAAATCGCTAAATATATATGAATAACATGAATTGTAATAGTTCTCTTGATTATTCATATTTCCTATCTAAAAAATAAAATAAAATATAATAAGCTCCTAATGGAGAAAGCTAAGCACTACTAGACTCGAATCAATAACTAAGCAGGAAGTAGAACTTGGTTAGGAGCGTGTATTTGAGCACCAGACTCATCGCGAGGTCTAACCAATTTGTTGATCTCATTCAAGCTATTTTCTATTTCGTTCTCTTCCAACGACCTATCTTTAGTCTCAGGAGTGAAGAAATAAGTCACTACAGCTCCAACAAGAGAAATCACACCCAAAATGATCAACGAACAACCAATCTTTCCAGTCCCTTTGTTGCCTTTCTCCTTGTCTTCATCTTCAGATACCCACAAAAATGCAACTGAGCCAATAATCGCACCCACTTTTCCAGCAGCCCCAGAAAACCCATGGCATGTTGCCCGAAACCTTGCAGGAAAAAGCTCAGCAGGAACAATGAAAGTGGTGGTATTTGGGCCGAAGTTGGAGAAGAAGAATACAAAGCCATAGAGGAACATGAAACCTATTTTACCACCATTCAAAAGAACATTATAAGGCACTCCAATGGCAAATAAGAATATAGCAATAAAAATGAAACCCGTCATTTGGATCATCCTTCTCCCAATTCGATCAATAAAAAAGACAGTAGCCCAGTACCCAGGAATCACCGAGCATACTGTAATGATCGCCTGAAGCCTGGCTACATTGTATGCGTCTTGAAAAGCATTTATCTTGTTTTCGTCCCTTGGAAGGAAGGACTTGTATATACGAGACTGGAAGAGGGTGCTGCTGTAGAAGACTATGTCTAGTAGGAACCATGTGGCAGCACAGGAGAATAGATGGTGGCCATGAAGGTGAAAAAATTGCTTAGAGAAAAACGAATAAGTTGAGGGAGGTTCCAGAGACGACGAGGGAGGGGGTGTAGCCTCATCGAGTATTTGGTTCATTTGGACATCCAGGACCTTCTCCATGTCCTTTGCTGCTTGTACCACATTGCGCTCCACCAAGGCTGTGTACCTAATTCATAATAGCATACCACATTTATTTTGCCTTAATATTTAAGCTACTACTATCATACAGAGGTACTGGACCACTTAAAAATTTAGGTAAGCAACTTCCTCCATTCGATAGTAAATAGAAGCTCACAATCACTCTATTATTGACAATCAAACAATTGCACATATATTTTTACTTCCCAAGCAATCATATATCAGCAAAACAGCTACCCAATGAGCCAGTTGTTGGGTTAAGCAAGATCTATGCTAGACTTGGCAATTTAATGGGAAATTTTTGCATATGTTTCAATTAATTAAGAGGAGTTGATCGAGAAACAGAAAGTTTTACAGTTGTGAAACTTGACATGTTAATATTTATTCAACATAAATGAATAATAAGAAAAGATTCGAGTAGATATAAGTCGATTAGAGGTGGATACCTGGCGGTTTCAGGCATCATCATACGCCAATAGAAAGTTATGGCAGCAGGGATGGCACCAAACATAAGTATGATCCGCCATGCCAAATCAACCGCCAAAGCATGCGACTTATGATCTTTCGAGGCGTTAGTGGCCTGGTTAAAGATAGCGCAGACAGTCATTATCACAATGGAGCTAAACAATATCCCAAACCCCTGCATGGAGAACACGGCCGCAATAAACGCTCCACGAGTCTTCTTGTTAGCAAACTCGGACATGATGGTAGCAGAAAGAGGATAATCCCCGCCAATTCCTACTCCAAGGAGGAACCTGAAGAAGACTAAGCTAAGGAGGACGCACGATTTAGATGTACAAATAGAGAAACCACACCCAAAGGAAGATAAAACCATGAGGACAAGAGCCAAGCCGTAGACTTTTCTACGGCCAATCCGGTCCCCAAGGATGCCAAACACAAGCTGGCCGAGGGCAGTGCCAAGGAGAGCAACAGCTATCATGGCGGATTTGACAGCAGTAGGGATTTGAAACTTCGGTGTCTGTTCGGAGTAGTAGACATGGCCAAGGAGGATGGTAATAGGAGGAATGCAAAAGAGATCATAGGCATCGGAGAAAAGGCCCATCCCAGCAATAATAATGGCCTTAAAGTGGTAATATTGTGTCTTTGCTGTGTCTAAAGCTGATAAAACTTTCAGCCCCATGCTTTAATTTTGTTAAAACTATATAATAGTTCAAAATAAATATGATTTGGTGATCAACAAATATTGGAGAAGAGGAAAAAGATAGCAAGGAAAATTAAATCAAGTTGGAAGGTGCTCTCTGCTAAATTGAGTGACGAAGATGACAGATTGACAATGAAGTTTTCTTAATCTACTTATGTTAAATATGTGATTAAAATATAATCAAGATTTTTTAAAGGATTTGAGGGTAGACTTTGACTTTGACTTTGACTTGTTTGGTTGGCTGTTAATCCTCTCTCTCTCCCCCTGCTATGGACAGTAGGAGATGTCCTACTGTAATGGTTGACTATTATTTCAAATGGCCTTGATTTTTCTTTTTAATCATAGTATTATGTGAGTACTCCTTTTTAATTTCTTAAGAGAATTAAAAGGCTTATATTTCTCTAATGTGATCAATTTATCAGATAGCTAGGACCAATTGTGTTGTAAGGACGACCGAGATTTTTCTCAGGAAAGCAAAAGTTGAAATCGACTCTAGTTTGTAGCAAACCCTCAGTGATTATGTGAAACTAATTAAGGTGACTTTTCTATTACAAAGGATGACTTCTTTTGTAAAGATAAACTAATACTCTATACTTCACACTTAACTTTTGATGTAGGGTAAATACTAATGTATTTCTCAACTTCTCCCTGAGCTCAATTTCTAATAAGCTAAATCGAAGCTGTTGGCGCTATGCTACTCCAGTAAGGGTGTAAGGCAGTCTACCGTCGTCTCACATTCTCAAATACATGACTGCTATGTCTGCTAGCTAGGAAAAGTATACGAGGATTAATTTGCAGAGGAAGTTGCTTTGAGTCCTCACAAAATTGTCAAAAGCAAAAGCCCTGAACATGGTCCATTCAACTGTGTACTGTATAACTCTTGAATTCTCTACTATCAATCGGGCATACCCTAGTTCATGGAAAATGAACTTTGAACCTCTAAAATATTTATTAAATTTTAATGTGTGCGCAATGAATCTCTTTTTAGGTAAATGATCATCCTCCAATTTATTTTGGAATAATTATTGCCCCTCGTATGCACAAACCTAAAATTTATGTATAACGACAAACAATTAAAAAAAAAAAAAAAAATCAACCACGATATCGACTAAGAAAATAAATTCTTACATTCTTCAAAACAAAGTCGTGCTATTGGGAGCATCTTATGCAGCACGGGAGTGAAACTGGTATCTCGGTGTATGTTCGTTACTCCGTACAAAACTCACCCCTCCACATACACCATGCTTGCACACGCATTGGTCTAGTATCACCTCCTTCGATGATCTCGAGTCCACCATTATATTGTGGACATTCTTTCATTATTTATTTTTTACATAGATTTGGATTTCATGTTTTTCAAACTGAATCCTATATTGGGTACTCCGATCCGTATATCTCAAATCCAATATTATGTTACTTAAAATTGTGAATATCATCTCTCATAATACGTCATGAAATTAACCACCGGTTCAGGTGATTTTGTAAGTATCGCTAATACAATAATACTAATCAAAGGTAGGCTCAATAAGTTATAGGATCTTCCCAAGATACAACATGTGGAAAGGGAAAGATGCAGAAAAGTCTACAACCTCCCATTCGTCAATCCACGATAGCTGAAAGTGGTGTAGTCAGGGGGAACCCACTTCACATGTGGATCAGTTTGTCTGCTTGCTTAGTTGTGTTTTAGCAATTGGTAAGCAGATATAGTTAAGGAGAGGAGAGGCCCGAGCAAGGAAAAGGGGCTTGCATTACCAAAAGGATTTAGTTCATTAAAAGGCTAAGGAAAATGGATGCCCAAACCCTTCCCTTTCCCGATTTCATATGCAAGAAAGGAAAAATAGTAGCCTCTCTTGCTTACCCTCCAAATTCCTCATCCAAACATATTGTCGAAAGATGACTCGATCAAATTGGGATCCACTACATCTTATCGAAATATATAACGTTTTTCATGTAACTGACCCAAAAGGCACGAGTAGGGAACAATATGAAATACAATCACATTATATCATTAATACTAATGCCAATCCATAAATCATAGCCAAAAATCTATAATTAGCTCCAAGCAGAAAATCAACTGCAATAGTTTACCTAGGCCTACCAGGTCATGAGTTGTGTACAATACAATTAAGAGTCAAATACCCAAGACCAGTCCGCAAGTTTGTCACATTAATTAGCAACACTATCAACTGGTATCCAGCTAATCTATTGACTAGTTGGACTGTGCTAATCCGGTAAACTAACAGAATACATACCTTTACATGCACATTCAGCAGCTACTACACAGGATTGAGAAGCAGTTCAGCTCATGCAGGAATTGCAGGATCAAACTGATTACCACATGGGGGTACACCAGGTGCCTTGTATTTCATCACAACTCCCTCCAGGATACCATCTGACCTGAAAGTGGGTGAGAATAACCTTGGGTCAACTGGACCAGGCAACTTGAAAGAAATGGAGAATGGTCCAGGTGGGCTCAACTGTGACAAGCTCAGGTGGTACACAGTTTTAGGATTCTTTTTAGCTAGTTCTCCCCCTGTTATGTTCCCTTGAAGATGAACCTTCCCATCACGTTCAATCTCACAGCTCAAGTCACCTGCACAACAGTACAGCACAAGCGAGCTTTCAATATCACGACTACTATATGATTTAACCCAACCAGTTTTATTTTATTTTTTTTCAAAGTTTTGAAATGACTAATGCACAACAGTTACCAATGCAAAAAGATAAATTTGTTAGCTATATGTCAGCAGGTTCGTCATTCCTCAACTTAATGGGTTTTAATCAGATCACCAACCAAGTGACAAGTCAAATTCAGATTCTGATCTTAAATTTATATGGGTCAGGTACTCAGGTTCAGAAATTTTTGTCTGCAAATTTCAGATTATATATAGAGATCTTGGGTACTTGACCAAGATGCCAGCCATTTTAATCTAACTGTCAGCTCAACACTTCCTTCACCTTCTCCAAAAAGGAAGCCAAAAGTTATAAGAGTGAAGAAAGGTAAAGGAGAGACTTACAATTGTCCTTTCTAATACCAGGAAGTGCAACTCGAAACAAGTAAGCTGATTCACTTATTCCAATGTCAACATGACCAATAGGAGGTCCAGCTGTTCCATCTCGAGCTGTTCCAGTTAGAACAACTTGGGTTGTGTCTGCTGTGAATTGCAGTGTAGGATTCTCTCCCATATCAACTCCGCCAACTTTGGTAGCTACGAATTTATACTAAATTTGTACCTGCGAAGTGTAACCAAGCAATATCAAACCATCAATCCCAAATTGAATTTTATCAATGATAACTAGTCAGTTAAGTACACTTGAAACAAAGTTGGAGACTGAAAGAAGACAAATTTAAACCAGAATTCACATGAAGGATCACATGTCAAGAAGCAAGGATCTTAAATTAAACAGGGTTAACAAATAGTTAAATCATTACTTCAAAATTATAAAGCATGGTGTACTTAGTTGTATACACAAAGCAAAGCATGATATAAAGCAAATAAGCACCTGTGAACTGTTCCAATTGTCCCCCTTTGTCTTTTTAATAAGCAGTTGTCAAGGCACTCAATGTTCTGGGCCAAAAGATGAATGTTAAAAATGCATATTCATCCATAGACAAATATTAATTACACGCATATTGAGGAGAATAATTGTTCTTCCAAGAGGTAGCAAGTGAGAAACATATGTCCTAGATCGATTGTTGGAAAAGATCATGGCAAATGTTAGTTTACAAACTAGAAATTCAGGAGATAAGAGTTTATAGCATGAAAAGTCTGTAGAGAGAACATCTTGACTCCACGTGTATGTCAATCTCAATCATTTCTCCATAACCTAGCATCCTGAGAAATGTTTATCATTGACGACTATTTAGCCATTACTTCACCAACACTAAACCAACTTTGGTGCATAAACCTCACAGCTATTAGGTCTAGAGCTAAAGTTCTTCCAACCAACAAAAACTAAACTCTCTCAAAGGAAGCGACCTCATTAAACCAAGGGTAGCTTTACTATTATGGGAGCCCTATGCGATAAATATGAAATTGGGCACTAGTTCATAATTGAAGCAATACTAAATAACTAGTTTTTTAAAAAAAAAGATTAAATACATCTCAAATATACCAAAGAATTAAATAATGTGAGAACTAAATAGGGAAGTAAAATATGATGCACATATAGAAACATAAATGAGGAAAAGGATGGCAATGGCATTTGGAGACAAGAAGCATAACTGCGAAGTAACCATAGTAGTTGGATCCTTTCAAAGCACCTCCTACGGATTCGAACTCACACCCTTAATAATCAATTTAACTGGCATTTGCATGCATATCATTACGTCAACTCTGAGTACTTATTTTCTAGCTGCCCTGCGTTTATTCCCCTCAAGTTCTTGAAATGAACCTATTCAATAGCTAAATTTTTTCTTAAACAAGTAAGTTTTAGGAGCAATTTATGTGAACACAGGTATTGTGAATACTATGGTCAAATGAGATAAATTGAAAGGAATCACCCATATGATGGGTACAGTAAAATCCCACAACAATATGTCAATAATCAGCCAAGTATGAACATAGGCATTGTGATCTAATGAGTGACAAAAAGTTTGGAAATTACCATGATCACATGACTATATCTAATGCTAACACATATTGAACAAAATACGCTTGAAAACAAAAAGGCTATAGCTATACATCATGAAAACACAAAATGCTAATGAAACAAGCTTCTGCAAGGCTTTTCTCCAAAAGACTCACATATAAAAGCTGAATCAAAATCCCTCACCTCAATTAATCTTTCAACACTTCAAGAAGACCTAAGAAAATACATTAGGTGTGTGCCTGTGTATATAATCCTCATTGCACTACCATTCAATAATGAGAAGCTAAGTTTTAAAAACCCTAATTACACATAATTTAATAAACGTTGGGCAATATAACCCACATTTTCTCTAAACTAATTGTTGGCCAACGCTTAAGTCTCTCAACTTATAGAAACGTAATTATTGAAGTTAATAGAGAGGAGTATCAAGTATGTATTTGAATTAGATTAGGATGCCATTTTTTAGGGGTGCTTTTGATGAAAAGCAGCCTGATTGTATTATTATTTACAAGAATAAGCACATATTACAGATTTGTAAAGTAGCAATGCCATCTTATAAGATGGAAATATTGTTCAGAATTAGAACATGATCTTGCCTATACTTTAGACAATTCAAATTACAACAACAACAAAGCCTTGATGTCCAAAGTATTTGAGGTAGGCTGACATGAGCCGTCATTCGAAACTGTCGGTCCAAAATGCAAGACATGAGAAATTTTTAACGCGTATTAATAAAAGCTTCAAAAGCCAGTATCGTCTTTTTTTTGGTCTTAGAGAGCCACAATGGCAGAGATTAGAATCGATCCCAAGATCCCTTGGAACCGGGAGGAAGCTCTAACCACTTGAGGTACCCCTCACTTTAGGGCTCACAACACAAATCCTACCTTGCTAATGAAATTTTTCACTAGCATTAAACCCTTTGACATCAATTTTACAAATAACAAATTCAATAAATTGATCAAAGATCAAAATCCTCACCAAAAACACATATCATCACCGAAACCTGTAAAATAGAACCTTCCTTCCACATTTTCAACAATGAGCAAAACAAAATAAAAGGTTCATTTTTTTTTTATTTTTACCGTTCCATTCCAACACTAAAGGGTTCTGCAACGCATTAGAAATCATATTTGACTCAATTATCAAATTAATCTCCAAAATTACATTGAATTCTGCTATCTTATGAATATCAAAAGCAAAATTCCAGTAACAAAATTGCTCGTTGTAACTTTTCACAACTTCGGTAATTATAACAAATGCTTCAATAATAGACCATAGAAGAACCCTAATTTGACTATACTGGAAATTAAATCAAACGATAAACCCTACAGTTCACAATCTAATAGTAGCTTGGGAATGGGATTATGTACTAAATTGAGAAATTGATTTTTGGAATTAACGAAAATGAAAAGAAAAGAAGAGATAATTACCTGAGAAGGTGGTTCAATGGAGGAGAGAAAGCTCAGAAGGCGCTTCAATGGAGAATTCAGAGGACGCTGCAATTCAATGGAGGAGAGAGAAAGGAGTGCAGCGTAAAAGTGAAATGGCTCAAAGGAGAACGAAAACAGTGGGTCAAAATCAGGTGGATAATTAATGTTACGGAAAGTAAATAACACTTTTTTTTACTCCGTACTGTATATGGAATTGATTTTACACACAAGTACACAACACACCAATTGGTTGTGGCCTTGTTCGTGCGGTGGTGATTGAGTTGCTTTTTTCGAATTCGATCTCGTTTGATAATAGGGAGTACTACCTAATTAAAAGAGGATTGAAATTTAACCAAAATTACTTAGAATTGAGACTCAACTAAAGGCCAAAGGAGAACCGAGTGGGATGATTAAATAATAATAAAAAATAAAAAATAAATAGAATTTGGGTTGTTTTATTCCACATATGAAATATTCCGATTTGATAAAAAAAAAAATTGATATCTAATTTGATACATCTAAAGTCATAAAGAAAAATATAAAAAAATCACTATTGTGCCTTTGTTTTCATAATTATAAACAAAATACAAGTCCGATCCAAAACTGATTTCTTAAGATATTGAATCATACCAAACCATATATTGAATTTTTTTTATTTCTTGACTTAGACTTCAGCTTAATTTCAGTTCAGTTCAGTTCAGCTTCTAATTTCCTTCTCTAATAAAATATTCAGTTCAATTAAGCTCATTTCAGTAAATGTGAACATGCTCTCAGTTTTGAATGGGTTTTCTTTGGTTTAATCTAGTTCAGTTTAGTTGGATCGGTCTTTGAGCACCCTTACTTGAAGAGTTGTAGTGGAACACTTTCTAACTCTTACACCATCACATCTCACCTAAACATTACATCTCTAACTCTTACCTTTTTCTTGGATAACTCACATCAATTCAAACGCCCCCTCAACTATTGACGGATCTTGGGACTAAAATTTGGGGGGAAGGGGGAAAGATAGGGTTAAGTTTGACCTTTTTGTTCAAGACACGTCAATGGGGATTGCTCCCTTCCTCGATTAAGAGACGTTTATGCCATCAGACTCATCACCTCAAGTTTATATGTAAGTGATCGAGAGAGTTTTAAATATGAAGTTGTAAGACTGCAAACAATATACATGTACATCTTTTTGTCCCTAATTGAATTGTCATACAATTAAGAAAATTCAACCTTGAGCTTCATGATTACAATTTGTATCACAAAACAAATACACAAATATAAAACAAAAATATAAGTTGTAACATATTGATTTTGAACTACTTAACCATAATTTATATTTTTGCTATAAAGTAATAAGTAAAAACACATGGTTTTAAACTTTAGGGTAATTTTGCAAAGAACTACCAATTAAATGACAGGTTTTGGAAACAACTACCATTTAAAAAAAATAAAATTGAAACAACTGTTTCGTGTGATTTTGGAATCCCTCGGGTCACTGACAGGCTAAAGTCGTAATCACCTAATCAAAAATAATACCTAAATCCACTAAATATGTAGATAGGGAAGAAGGGTCGAACCACAGGGAAACAAGTCAATTTATTCCTAATTAATCAATATAATCTAGATTATCAAGTAACCAATTTGTTATTATAAAGGAGAACTAAACTACTAGGAGTAAAAGTGGGAAGGAATAAAAGTAGGAGGAAAATCAATGAATAAAAGACCTAGGGCATAGGTTCACCAATAAACAATATTTCAGGGTAAAACATAACAATCAATCATCAATGCATCGATTAATCAGATCATAAAAGGCTTTCTCTACGTATTACAATCACATAATTAATCTACCGGTATTAAATCTCATCTCTCGAATCTCGACTTAACCATTTATAAATTAACCTGCCTATTGAAACTAAGCCTAAATATCAATTCTCATCTCTCGAATCTTGAATCAATATTGCTAAACTCATACATAAAAGACCAGCGCTAATCTAGTTGCAGAGCATTAAATCAATCAATAGGAAATTAATCTAGCATTGACAATGTAACACCCTCAAACCTCCCTCGCTCTACGTAAATACTATATTTATACATATACAAATACCGTAGAGATAGACTTGGGCGTGTTACCGCCACGTGAAAACGTAAGGCTTAGCTAATTACTCAAATTGCAGCGGAAAAATAACTAACTTTTATTAATAATAATAAGAATAACCATAATAATTGTTTTAAAATAATCCAATAAAAACTTATCCACACATAAATATAGTATGCGCACGAACAACTCCACACCTGAAATCAAGATTGCTTACCAAAAATGGTAAACAAGGCGAACCAAAACAAAAAGGAAAACAAATTAGCACAAACGCTAAGTACGTATAAGTGCAAGGCATGTAAATACTTTTATTAGGCAAACATGCTTTCGAAATAACCATTTAAATTTAACTTGTCAAAAGTCACATTCGAAATTAGACTTTCTAAAATTAAACCTTCCAAGGGTAGTAACGTTCATCAATAAAAGCTTTCCAAACCAATAGATTTTCAATTTATAAACTTCTCAATTTTTAAGGTATATTTCCGAACCAATTTTCCTCACCTAAGTGTGCACACCCCCCAAGCAAGTTATACTATACTCGAGGAAAGACCAGAACATACAAAGCTCATGGTCTTACTTAACCAGTCCCAGTAAAGGGACAATTAAAATACCAAATACTCAGGCTCATAATGAGTTGCAAATTAATTAAATCAAGTGATTTATAAATTAAACCAACTTTTATTAAATCAATCAACACTTTCAGCGATCAAACCTTTAAATCATAAAATCATGTATTTTAACTCGTCATGAAAATCATTAACTTAAATATTCGTACGTAACGTTTATTCAAACAATCATTAAAACAAACAGTTACCAAACACGCATTGTATCAAGGACCTAGCCACCTATACGTACCTTGATCACGAGAACAATTAAGGTACGATCACTAAACTTGACCACAATCGAGGGGCTCCTCCTACACAATTAAAATAACCTTAATTAATATAAGCTTAACAAAAATAAACACAAAAATAAACACAAAACTTTACATAATACTCTATTAGTGCATGAACTATCAAATTACGGAGTGTTAACTTATAAACCAATCCTTTATAATGATGATTCTTAGTACGTATAATTTGTACATTAAAGCTATACTTTACATAATATCAATAAAAGTATAATAGTATTAACTTTAGAGTAATAGTAAAAATAATAATAATAATAGTAGTATTATGGATATAAAAAGAGTCAGGTTACAATAATAAGCAGAAGGGTGTGTGGCACCTTAATTAGCTTGCGGCAACGATATTAATATGGGTCGGCACAAGTTGACGAGAGAAGGGTAGTGTATGGCCGATAGAAATGGTGGTGCGGTTGCGGTGTTTAATTGAGCACAAGAAAGTAATAGAGGAGGGCTTGAGATTGAGAGTAGAGTAAAGTATTTTTGGTGTGAAGAATTTGTGAAGGGTTGAGGGTCTATTTATAGTGTTGAGAGTGTAGAAAGGATAGAGCTTAAGGTGTGATATGATTACTAGAAAATGTGATAAGTTTTAAGGGTTGTTAAGGTACTTGAATCAAATTGAGTCTAGATTAATAGTTGGGTCAAAAGATAAGAAAATTTAAATGGATATACAGTACATATGGTTGGGAGAAGGAAGATAGATAGGAACAAAATGAGATAGTGACAGGGTAAAGTCGTATCCCCTAATCAAAAGTAAATACCTAAATCCTCTAACTACAGTAGATAGGGAAGTAGGGTCGATATCCACAGGGAAACAAGTCTTTTTACTCCTAATTAATTATTATAATCTAAATTATAAAGTAACCAATATATTGTAATTAAAGGAAACTAAACTACGAAGATTAAGAGTAGGGAGAAAACAATGAATAAAAGGATCTAGGGCATAGGTTCACCAATAAATAATACTCCAGGGTAAAACATAGTAATCAATCATTGACATTACATAAATAACACGATTAACAGGCTCTCGCAATTTATTAATTAACATAGATCTAACAGGCTCTCGCAATTTACTAGATCTAAGTTCTTATTGAAAATAGCCTTTAATATCAAATTAACATCTGCTCGATTCATCAATTTAATATTGCTATACTTTTACAAGCCGCAATTGTAAAACGTTAAAACAATTCAATCAGAAATTATCATGCAATACCAATAATCAATAATAGTCAATCATCAATGCATCAATCAACCAAATTGTAAAGGGCTTTCGCTACGTATTACAATCACATAATTAATTTACCGGTATTAAATCTCATCTCTCGGATCTCGACTTAACCATTTATAAATTAATCTGCTTATTGAAACTAAACCTAAACATCAATTCTCATCTGTCGAATCTCGAATCAATATTGTTAAACTCATGCATAAAAGATCTGCACAAATCTAGTCACAGAGCATTAAATCAATCAATAGAAAATTAATCTAGCATTGATAATTAACAACAATAAATTACCCCTTCATATTATTTATGGATCCCCATGAACCCTAGAAATAGACTACTCACACATAGTAGAAATTAAACTAATCAAAGCAATAAAATAAGTCATGATAAAGGGAAATAAGATTAAGAGAAAAGAAATCGTTACCAAACTAATCTGTATTAATGGAAATAATCAAGAACAAGAGTTGAGAGAAGAGCTAAGAGAGAGAAAAGATCCTAAGTAGAGAGAGAAAGTCTAAGAAAGAAGATGATCTAATAATTTCGTACAAAAACGTATTTAAACGTTTTCTAAAACGAGAATTAAAACTAAACTTAATCAGGTCTTCCAGAAACGCGCGCCCGATCGGGCGAAGGGCCGCCCGATCGGGCGCGCCTTTTTCTTCGCGTTCTTCCCAAGCAACCTCGCCCGATCGTGCTAGAAGCTCGCGCGATCGGGCGCGCCTCAGCACGCTCAGCCTAATAGTCCTGCCGCGCCCGATCGTGCTAGAGGTATCCCAATCGAGCGGTTGCTTCTCCTTGAGGCTTGGACTTCGATTGGGCTAGATTTCTGATAGGTTGTCGTACACCTGTCAAAAATAAATTCCTAACAAAACCAACTAACAATGTAGTAGTGTAAGTAGGGTCAAATCCACAAAGAGATGACTATTCAATCTAGCTTTCAAGGTATGGAGAAACTAAACTATGTCGCGAAATTGGGATGAAAATATAGTCTAAATTAAAAGAGGGAAAAAAATAATTAATAAAAAGACCTAGGGCTATGGTTCACCATGTTTATAGT